CTGAAAGCTCTTTACCCTTATTTATATAATTCCAAGATTGTATTTTTTCACTACTGAAATTTTGCTGTTTAACAGTGCATAACAACACTGCAGTATCATCTTGCAGGAAATACTGGGGAGGAGGAGACATGTGGTTGAACAGGTTGGAGCAACTTTTATAATTCATAGTTCTATAAAGTCTCAACGAGACTTAACTCAAACCTGAATTTGTCATTGCATCTCTAAAATGCATAGTGGAACTGGGTACAGATACAGAATTTGCTGTTGTAAAACTTTTTTAGACTAAAACAAGATAAAGGAAATTAAGTGTCTCTTCCTGCAAAGCCTCAAGCAAGTACATAACTTTGTTTCCATGAATAGTTTCTTTGAGTTCATTTGGACTACCAGTGTTCTTGTAGTGAAGAATTTACAAGTCTGCAATCTTAAATCACAGGTTTGAACATAGGTTGTGTTTTTTTCATGCTGGAAAAGAGTATTGGCTAATCCATGCTAGTGTATCATAAACTAGAATATTTGTGTATTAATTTTTAGCTGACAGTGGTTAACCATAGCTGGGAGCCTGTTGACTTTTAAAATGCAAATTGCCCAATATATAATGTTAATATTTACTTTTTAAATATCCCTATTTTTCTAGTGAAACATAGCCTCGAAAGCATAAACTGTCATAAATGATTACTTCATTGGAATTGCTTACTACACGATTACTGCACTAGAATGAGACTTCCAATACCGTAACACCTATTGCAGACTTCTTATACGCAAAGCCAGTCAGTACATTAAAAAGCAAGTGAAACATTACAGACTCATTTAGTATATAATTACATAATAAAACATAGTAAAATAAATCAAGTGCTTATACTATATTTGCAACACGCTTTTACACAGTTCTAAGATGAGAATCAATTAGTTACGTCTCTTAATCCAGCCCGGGAATGGGCCAGAATAATCAAGTGGCCTTGCTCTCCATAGTATAATGCTCTTCCAGTACATAGACGTGCACATTTCATTCCCAGCGTTCTGATTGGACCCTGTGCGTGGGTAGTTTAAATGATGGGTAGGCAATGTAAGTGAACCACAGTGACGTGTTTAGGTTTCCTTATAATTTCCTTTATACAACTATAGAAATTCTGACCTCTCCGTTGAAACTTACTGGAGATGTATGTCTTGTTTGTACTGTGAACTTATGTGAAGTTATGCCAAGATCCACTTTGTTGTTGTTGGTTTTCTTTATTATTTCTCCCCTGAATATAATCATTTGAACCCCTGGGTTCCATTCAGTGTAACCAGTAGGCTGTTGGCATCTGTGAAAGGTACCAAATTTACTCGAATATGAGATGATCCCCCAATGGTTAGGTTCTATATGTGGAAAATGTATTAACTAGTTACAATTTACTAGGTAGAGAATCTAGTTATTGGAGATTTTCCTTGAATTTGTTCCCTTCTACTTCTACAGCAGGGAAAATAAATCTGGTGAAGTCAGGTAGCCCATCTCCCCTGCAGTTCCATTTTCTCTCCCCCTTTACTTTCTGTTCTCTCTGTCCCTGCTCGCTCTGAGCACATGGAAGTGAGGTGCAAATTTGAAAACACTGACCTTGAAATAAACATAATTTATAATATAGGCAAACTTCTGATGGGTATCCATAGACTTAGCTCATCCAAAATTGATGTATTTTACCTTTTTTTGAAACTGCTGCAAGTTTTAGCAAATGTACTCCATAAACGTACTTTTAAGCAGCGCTTTTGTACTTATGTATAGTACAAGCTACTCATCACATTAGTCCAAAATCAAACGTCTTATGAGTCACCATATACAGTATAACCTCATAAATCTGGCATGCTTGGGACCAAGCACCTGCTGGAAATTTGAAAATTTCTGATTTTTAAAACCAGAGCTGCGGCCGGTCACAGAGAGAGGGAGGGCGCAGTAGCAGCGGCCGGTCATGGAGCAGCAGCTGCACGCAGAGTGGTGGTACAGGGTGGTGGAGGGTGGTGTCAGCTGCCATGTGCATCTTCCCCCTCCACTGCTCCCCTATGTAGTGTATTTTTTCTAAATGCCAGATTTTCAAGAATTACAGATTTCTGATATCCGGGTTTATGAGGTTATACTGTAGTTCATTCAGCAGTCAACAGCATTTAAAGCCATGGTGACCTCATAGCTCAGCATGTGTGTATATTCCAGATTACAAACTCGAACCCCAACCTCCAAAGGTCCATGTGCTAATTAGCTCCCCCCCACCCCCATGACTGGAACTGGTTGTTCTTGTCACAAGACCTACGATCCTCCAAAAAAAATACATACAGATAAAGTGCAGGGCAACTTGGTCTGTATTTACCTTATGGAGAGTGGGGCCACACTAATCATATGCAGCAGGCTGGGGGGGGCGTGTGACAGAGGGATTCTGGATGAACTGTTTGGGGCCCCATTTGGTGATGTTTGCCAGATGTTTAAGGTTGATGAAGAAATGTCATTGGACATGGGAATCATTGGAAATGGGAAAGAAAAGCACAGCTCAGCTATGGAAGTGAATCATAGAATCAGTGGACCAGAAGGGACCTGGAAGATCATAAAGTCTGGTTCCGTTCATAGGCAGGAGGTTAATGAGCTCAAACTAGCTCAACGTGCTTATCCAGCCTCCTCTTGAACACCTTCAAGGATGGCAACCGCACCATCTCTGCTGGGAGTGTGTTCCAGGTTCTAGTTACCCTTACGGAGAAGTTGCTCCTTATGTCCAGTCTTCCAGTAAAGAGGAAGTCGAAATGTATTCAGCATAGTGGTTCACCATGACTTAAAAAGGAGTCAGTGCTGAAGGGGGCTGTGTGCAGACACTACCATATTTCTTCTTCAGATGGGTTGCACTAACCTATCTTTGTAATAGATTTCCATCAGTATGTTTGCCCTGTCACAGGCCAGCAGGGCACTGTGAGTGTATCAATTTAGTTGCAGGCTAACTGGGTGCTGCAACTGTATCAGCTGCTGGGCTGTTTCGTTCGGGATCAAGGAGGTGGGAGTGAAGCAAAGGCAAATTTATTATAGCTTACACATACAACAATTAACAGAAAGATAAATGCGACAAGCAGATAATGCAGTATTAAAGAGCTAATAGTAAATAATAACAACAGATAGATGGATCTATTCTGTCGCAGGCCAACTGGGCACTGTGAGGGTATCAGCCACTTAGCTGTTCAAAACAACAGATAGACAGACATGGGTCAGCAGCTTATCGATAGTCCTTCAATGCCATGTACACGTCAAGTGATTCCAGTGAAGTCAGGCATCCCCGATCGATGCTGTCGGAGGGATTACAGGGGAGGAGATCCCTTGATCAGAATCCTATCCTCACTCACACTGGGAGTCCGGAGTCCGGGCTTTGAACAGCAGTGAGCGTTCTGTTTCCTCCTTCTTGCTGGTCACCTGACGCATGCGCTTTTTATACTTAGTCTTACGCTAATCTGTTGGCTTTAGAGCAACTAACAATCTTGCCTTATAGCTGTTACCCTATTGGATTGAAATGTGTTAAAATTATCATAAAAAGTTACTACCTAGACTCGGGTTTATCCAATAAGCAAATTACAGTGCAGCACCTTTAGGTTTGAAATTGACATTACCAAACCCAACCCTTTTAGGTTTTTGGTTTTTTTTAATATGCTTTCTTGGGATGTGCTTTACTGGAATGTGTTGGGTGTGCCAGGCGGTTAGATCCAGTTTTATTGTCAAGGCTGAACCTTGAGCAAAAAACCGTTAGGTCAGCTAATCTTGCAGCTACAGCTTCACCTTTGGGGCCCAGTCAGTTCCACGAACAGTTAGTTTTGTCATTTTGGTTAAACTTATGACAGACAAGGTACATTTGTGGGTTACAAACTTTATATTAGGCAAAAATTCTAAATGCCTCCAAGAAGCATGTGTTTATTGCTTATTAATCCCTCTGACAGGGTAAATACCATGACCACCGAGGTGATTTTCCTACTCACTGGGGCAAACCACAAATGTGGCAGGGGATAGTACTCTGACTGAGGCAATGCACAGTTAGCCTCCCCTTTTACTTCCGCTGGGAAGATCTCGGCTATACACCGGTTTTATGGAAAGAGGAGACTCCCCAGTAGCTTGCTCCTGCAGCCATACAGCTGAGGGCAAGCAAAACTAAGGGACATCTGAATTCCAAGCCTCCAGGCTTGGGCCTGCACATAGGATGCATGCCAAAGGATTTGGAAGCATCTGAAGCCCTGGGCGGGGGTGAAGGATACTTGCTGGGAGCAAGGTTACGTATGGTTCTTGAATGACTCATGGATTTGGAATCTATTTGGCTGACTTGACTTGGGACACAACATTTTTTCCTTAAAGTTTGCCCAATAATGGGCCATGCGTTTCATTGTCATGCTCAATGTTGGCTGCATGTAATCAGCTTCGTAGTTGCTTTCCATTTACCAAGCTGAGCACATGCTACTTTTGGCAGTAACTTAATGATAGACAGTGAATTTAATGGGGTTTCCTTGTATGTGATTATAAGACAAGGGGCTTTGTTCCCCAGTTCTGATTGTGGGGTGGACAGAAACCTCATTTTGTATTCAAGTGAATATAGCAGATCCCCACCAGTGATCCAGCATTATGCACAGACTGAGGGAACCCAAGGCATCATAGCTGGCAATGGAACAATTAAGCGCTACCCGGGGTGGATAGCAAGATTAGGCTGCTCCTTGTTCATTTTCCTGTACGTAATGGGTAAACCTCCAAAGCCTACATGAATACGAGTGTCTGGGAACCAGATGAACACAAGTTACAGGGTCTCTACTTCTGCTGTTTAGTGTAAAGATTTTATATACTATTTGCAGTTCATGTTACATAGAAAGGATTTCTGCCTCATAGAAAAGTTGTAAAACTCCAGAAAATTGCTGAGTAGGCAAGGAGGGTGGTGTTGTGTTATGTTTGTTTTGTTTGTTTTTTTGAGGAGCTTACATTTTTACTTCAGTTTACAGAAGTACTAATATTGGTTGCTTTCTTTCAGATCATGGAACTCTGCGGTGCAACAAGACTTGGATATTTTGGGAGAAGTCAGTTCTATATTGCTTTGAAACTTGTTGCTGTGGCCCAGTCTGGTCTCCCTCTAAGAGTGGAAAGCTTAAATACAGGTACGTCTAAAATCTAAACATCCTTTGGAGTAGGTATATTAAGACTTGTTGGAGTTGGCTTGCATCTTTCTAAAAGATAATGTAAACTATTAGGGTATGCCCTTTATGCACAGTTGTTCACTTTTTTGCATGCATGAAAATCTGAAGAAGGTACTTTAAATTAAATTTAAAATTTTAGTTTAGCTCTCTTTATAAAAGAGACAGTCTGGGGGCATGAAGTCCTCAAATATTTCTTTTCTAAACTAATCCAAACAAATGGTACTACAAGGTATGGAGTTTAAGAATGAATCCATATGCAAATTCACCCTGTGGTGTAGGTGTTGCATGCTGCACTATTTTTTTTTTTTTTTCTAGGTGTAATGGTGAATGGCACTGATATTAAACTTCTGATACTGGCATGTCAACATTTAACCTTTTTTTTAAATATAAAAACTGTTTGGGGCCACTTGGAATGGCAACTTTAGCTTCCAGCAGCAAGTGGGCACCCACAGATGTCTTCTTGATTGAGTCTTCGGACTCCAGCAGCAGCTGCGCCCAAATGAATTGAAACCTTAATTTTTTTGCAAAGCCCAATAGTAATAATATTTCAGAAGGAGACAAGATGGTGCCTGGTTTTCCAAATGCAAAGATAAAAGATGAGCTGATATCAAAGCTTTTGACATAACTCAGGGCTTTCTGAATTGTTTTAAATTGCTAGTGCTGCATATAAATAGTTAAACTTGACTCATCTAAATGAGTGTATCAACATAGATTTAGTTAAAGAGAATGCTGTATTAAGTCTGCAAACAAGTATCATTTGGGAAAAATGGCAAACTGACCCTGAAATTTTAAATAAAAAACATCGGATTTTTAAAATTTAAATCAGATTTTTTTAATTTAATTTAATTTTTTATTTTTTCAGATGCTTTTAAAAATATACCTATATAAAGATAGTTTTAATTTAAGATATGTTAGAGCTCAAAGGGATCATTGTGGAATAGGGATTATAACATCTAATTATATACTATTCAAGACCATATATTCATGTAACCTTTTCAGAAATGTTTTATAAATAGGTCACAACAGGCCATGGACCTATAGGGGGCCAATCTTAAGGGGTTCCCAGGGGCTCCTTTATAGATTAGTAAAGATTAAAGAAAATCCAGTAGGACTCAGTGCTCAGTTTAGAAGATCCTGTTAAGCATCTCTGTGATGCCTAGTTTCAGTTATCTAACTATGGATTTGTTTCCAGAGATAACATTGTTAACAGCAGTCTATGGCAATGAGAGATGACAGACCTGATTACCTACCCATCAGCCATATCGTCTCTCTGCAAGTTTGTGTACACAGAGTCAAGCCTTTGCCTCTTTCTAAAAGTACAAAGTTTCAAGAAATTAAATGAATAGAGGATTGTTGGGGATGGAATAGATCTGGGCAAGGAGGAGGAGTCTGGAGATAAATGCAAAGAGAGAGGGGCAGTAGAAACAAAACAGAAACATTTTGAGCAGAATATTCCAGAAGTCTTGCAGGATAAGTTTCTGAGTATAGCTTCTACGTTAATTTGAGATCTAGTGAGGGAATGGTATGGTAGAAGGGAAAACCTATCATGGCAGCAGGCTTGCCAGGCTGTAAGAGACCCTGTTTGGGAATATTTTAACGAAGGTTATATCAAACAAGAATGCACTTTTTGTAGAAAACAGTAACTAAATAGAGGCTTTCTGACTAGGGATTTAAATTGTGAATTAAATCATGATTTAAATTGATTTTGATTTAAATCAAACCCACCCTGATACCCATGGTCAGCAATAGCTCTGAGAAACTACTGGGGGGGCTTTCTTTGAACAAGCATGCTCATAATCTCCATTTACAAAATCTTGAACAAGATCCCAGAACAAACCCATTTCCTCCTGGAAATCTTTACATCACTTTACTGATACCACAACTGTAGGCATGAATTTTTTTGCTAAATCTGTGGTGTTCCCAAACACCACACAACAAATGCAAGAGATGTGAAATTGAACAAGCTACCAGTTGATGTAATCTTTTAGACTAGTAGTTCTCAGATGGGGTGCCATGGCATTCTGGGGTGTCACAAGGCACTTTCACGAGTGCTGCAGTAAAGACCCTTCTGTTGCCCCAGTCAAGTGGAACAGCCTTGCATGCCTCATTCACTGCCTCATAACTCTTAAAACAGTCAGGAGTGCTTGGTCCTGCCATAGCCCTTCATGGTCCAACTTCCCCACCTTTCTGTCTGAAATGTGCATGGAACAGGTGGAAACAGGTGCATGGGGAAGGTGGAATTGTCCTATGCATCTCTTCCCAGGAGGAGCATAGAGGATCTGGACCAGGAAGCTCTGCAAACTCCGTACCATGTAATACCATTTGTTTTGGATTAGTTTAGAAAAGAAATCTTTAAAGACTCCATGTCCCCAGATTGTCTTTTCTATCAATAGAACAGAGCTAAATCTAAAAATTAAATTAAATTTAAAGTACCCCAAATTCTTCAGATTCTTATGTATGAAAAAAATGAATGATTGTGCATAAAGGGCATACTCTAATCATTTACAATATCTTTTAGAAAGATGCAGCTTCCTTACTTGTCTGCTTTAGGCTTATCTGGCTGTGTATGAGGCATGTAGGGCAGTTCCATCTGGTTGGGGTGGTGGCAGCACCTTGGTTGAGAACCACTGATGTAAGCTGAGGCAGCACAATAGTGATGCTCAACTAGGGTGCCACCAAATTAAAAAATGGTTACAGAGGGCTTCCCTGAATCTAAAATGGTTGAGAATGCATAGGCTTGGTAATAGAGAAACTAGAACAGCAGCCCAGGGAA